CAGAGGCAGGGATAGAGAGAAAGGCAGTGCCCCGGACCGGTGCCCCTATTGCAGCTCACCCTGGCCTCAGCAGACGGCGGGTCACGGGCATGTGTGCGTGCTCGGCATCTTTGGGGTGGTCTCAGATACAGACCCATTAGGTCAGACTCCCAGAGTGTGCGGTTGCTGCCTCACCGCTCTCCAGCTCGTCTGGCTGAATGTATATATATATATTTTTTTTAAGAAGAAGCTTCTGGGGTTGGCAGGTATGATGTTTAAGGTGCTGGACTTCCACATAGCCGACAGCAGTTCAAGTCCCAGACCTCAGTGCTCGAGAATCATGCCAGGCTCGTGTGCGTGCATGCTCAAAACCCCAAGAGGATATGAAAGAGAAGGGATTATGGTGGGGTGTGGCCATCTCCCCAGGGGCGACTTCTCACTTCCCCCCTGTCCAACTGAGGGCACATGCCCTATGGCAGAGACCCAAAACAAGGAGGAAACTTCCACTTTTGGTTCTAAGTTACCTATAAGTGGTCTCTTCACATTCTTTTAAGTTATAATTTATACCTGATCTTCCATGCTTTATGATGTGTTCTCTCTCTTCTTTGGTCTTCTTTCCATCCTGGTAAGCATCTTGTATTTCGTTTGTCTAGTTATTTGCATACTATCAATATATTTTTAAAAACAAGAACCTGGGCTTTCCGGTTTGGTTTTTGTGCAGTGTTTTCCGTTTGAAAAGTCTTGGAAAGTCCTTTGTCCCATCATAGCTCTCTCCTAACTCCTATCTCGTTGACTTTTGAAGTTTTCCCCCAATATTGCCCTGGAAGCGTATGTCATCAAGGCCGCTGGCTTCACGGGGATGACCTGCACCGTGTTCCAGAAAGTGGCAACGCCTGACCGTTCGGGCCTGTCCGATTACGGGAGGCGGGATCCCGACGGAAACCTGGACAAGCAGCTGAGCTTTAAATGCAACGTTTCCAACACGTTCTCGAGTCTGGCACTGAAGGTGGGTCCTGTCCTCTCAGCGTCGAAGACTATTTACATCCGGTTAGAATGCGAAAGTGTTTTACTTTGTACAGTATTCTTACTAAAAACCTTTTTTTTGGGGGGGAGGGGAGAGGGATGGGAGTGATACTGTTTTTTTTCCTGCTGTCTTGAAAGGAAATTCAGACCAGGAAGCATTACATTATGAATTTTCATGGGCTTTTTTTTGTCTCCTCTCCCCCCTTTTTTTTTTTTTTGCAAAAAAAAAAAAGATTACAACTGCAGTACTATCAATGTTACTATTACATATTGAAGTTTCTTTGACCTAAAAATTTACTTATTTTTGCTGCCAGTTTCAAGACCTTAGAACATTTTCATGGACCTCTGTAAATATCCTGGGCCCTAAGGAAGAGTCAGCCCTAAGGCTGGGCCTTTACTCAGGTGGGCTGTAGATCGGGTTTTATGGCAAAGTGTAGCTACATCATTCATCTTCCAGGAAATGTGTGTGTTTTATTGGAGCAAGCAAATGGAAGCATTTTTACTGATTTTTAAAATTGTGGGTGTAGACGTGTTTCACGGAGGTGCATAGTCGGGGAGGCACGTGTTCATCCGGCCCCGTGTAGACCTGTACTGTGGTGCTGCCCGAGGTTTTTAATTGTACATCACTTTCTTTGTTTCTACCTGTCCCTGAATTACATCGTAAGCAGCGTTCTAGTCGCTGTAATAGCTGCCTCATCCGTGATCAAGCAGGTGTTTGGTGTTTCGTACGTTGTAGGTGCTCCGTAAATATCGAATGGACAAGTGAATGAGGCATTTGTGTATTTTGTCCTCATTTATCCCGGGAACCTCCGTAAGGACAGCCAGCGTGCCGACTTCAGAAACTCCCCAGCTGCCTACCGTAATCTCCACTAGGTCAGAATGTCCCACGATCATGAAACTTGTTACCATAAACTGAGAAAAACTGGCACGGTGTATCCGTTATTCTTGGCCTTAGAGATTCCGGGCTGCTACTGCAGACGGGCTCAGCCTTCTTTACGGTGTCGTTTATCGACAGAAACGTGTCACGGAAGGCATAGAAAGAGCAGCGCACATGGGCCCCTGAGAGGCCTGTTTTTGTGAAGAGCATTTGAAATTGATGAACCTTCTGTCTTAGATGATCGCAGTTGATAGAAAGGGATTAAAAATGATGAAACCCTACATTTTATCACTTTCGCGGTCTACCCCTGTAGGGAAGGGCGTTTCTACCTGCTAAAACAGAAAGTGTCAAATGAACACTCAGGTTTGTCAATTTCATACTCTTCTGTCCTTTTCAGATCAGCCTGTGCCAGAGAGCAAGGACACCTTACACTATTATTTATGCTTTCTAGATGGACGTGATGAAGTTGGATGAGAAGGGAATGTATCGTTCATGACATAAAATGACATTAGGTGGTCGGGAAGGCCATGACACATTGTACTGTGTTGCTCTGTGCAAATGTGTCGTGACTTTCTGGAGGACCAGTAGGCAATATTTTAATGTCCACAATGGCAAAGATACGTAATCCTTTACGCTTTTTAGCACTTTTAACACTTTTAACTTCATTGAGGTTTTAAATTTTTTACTTGGGTAATATTTACTTTTTGTGCACCTTTTATTTTTTAGTTTTAATTTCTTGGGGGCCAGCCGGTGGCCTGATGGTTGCTGCAGCTAGATCCCACATGGCTGTACAGTTCAAATCTCGGACAGGGTTGTCTGAAAAACACACTGTGTGTGTGTGTGTCCAAAACCTCAAAAGGAGGCAGAAATGGAGGAGGAGGGATTGCGACATGACTGTCCCCCGTGAGGAACGCTTTCTTTTTTTTTTTTCAACATTAATAGGTTGTTTTATTTTTCACTTTGTTTCATAGGGCTTACAAGTGTGTGTGTGTCCAAAACCTCAAAAGGAGGCAGAAATGGAGGAGGAGGGATTGCGACATGACTGTCCCCCGCGAGGAATGCTTTCTCACTTTTCTTCTCTTCTCACTCACTTTCTGTTTAGTGCGTGTGCCCTCTGGCAAAAACTTTTTTTAATAATTTTTTCTCGAATATGCTCACCAGACAAGTTAAACATGAAATAATTGATTGCATCTTTCCTAAAGGAGAGCATATGCTAGCAGATACAGTGAGAGTCATAAAAGGCAGTCCTGGTTGGCCGTAGGCAACTCACTTGATCTGTTCCCTCCAGGCTTCTCGAGTTTCTGTCCTTCCCTCAAAACTGCCACCACAGCCTGGCAGGACTCTCCTGCCCCGCAGAGTATAGTGACTTCCTATTTAATCTGTTTCCAGGCTACTGCTTCAGAATCCGTCTTTATTGGGGCCAGCAGGTGGCGTGGTAGTTAAGGCACTGGACTCCCACATGCAACCACAGTTCATGTCCTGGACCTGGCAGCTTGAAACTCACACCAGGCAAATCCTAGAGAATGGGGGAGAAGGGATTGTGGCATGGACATCCAACCTAGGGGGTGATTTCTTACTTTCTGCCTCTCTGTCTCTCCAGCAAGTGCATGCACCCCATAGCAAAATTCTCTCTTTAAAAAAAAAAAAAACTAAAACTAATTTGCCAGTGTTTAGAAACCATTTTCCTCTTACACATTCTATGCTTACGTCCCAAACATCTAGGGCTTTAGTCCGATCGAAGTCCGTCACGTTTCCAGGGCAGCCCTTACGTGTCTTTGCTCCTCTACCTTGGTCTCTGCCCCTTTTCGTGTTCTCAGTCCATCCCGTCTTCATGAAGTCCTGGCTGCTCTTCCTCTGGCTCTGCATTCAGACAGCACACGCATTCTTTCTGCCCACATCCCTGAGCCTCGCCTCTTAGGCGCAGAGTGGTATGTGCATCCTTCAGAGTAATGAGAAGGTGGCTTAATGGTGAGCTGAGTGACAGTGACACGGTGGCTGCAATTGTGGCCTCCTGCAGCCAGGCAGCCTGGGGTCACATCCTGCTCCCCCACTTACAGTTCTGCAAACGGGGCCTCCACCTTCACCTCTCTGCATGTCACTTCCTCATCCGTTAATGAGCATCACGCCGTGGTTCCTTACTCAGAAAGGACTTATTGTGAGGATTAAATGAGGTTAATATGTGGGCATGCATAGAACAGTCCCTGGCAGAGAATAAGCCCTCAAGAAATGTTAACTCTTAATAATTATTGTTTTATTTCTGTCTCTCCCTTGTTAGATTGTGAATTTTCAAGGGCAGAGACCACAGTTTCTGTCTCTGGGCTCCATGTAGCCGACCACGGAATAACTCAGAATCCAGTAAATACTGCTGAATAAAATTAACAGCCAAGCTTAATTAGCAAAGGAATTCAGCTAAACAATTAATTCGAAAGGCAAACGTAATCCTTATTAATCTTTAGCTGTGCGATAATCAAAAGGTGGTATACAATTAATAACTAATTATACACAAGAAACTAATTGGGATCATCATCATAGCCATCTGTTAAAGTAGAGTGTGCACGTAGATAGAGAACACAGACCCGTAAGTAGTGTGCACGTAGATAGAGAACACAGACCCGTAACTAGAGTGTGCATAGATAGAGAACACAGACC